CAAAAAAAAATAGTCTCAAGATGTTGAGAAGCTGCCTCTTTAATATACAGCGCATGTTCTTGTCCATGGGGCTGACAAATTCCTTACGGTGCTGTACTCAGGAGCGCTGGTGTCCCCTGTCCATTCAGTACGCTCACACGTGATGCATGCGTGGGTAAAACCGCTCGCTAGCAGCTCTCGTACGCAGAGAGCTGGGCGAGAGTTAAGCTTTGTGGCTGCTCTTCCATACACCTGCGATTCCTCTGTTGCGTTGATTCACAGAGTTGATTCACAATCAAAGTCTATTCATCGTCCGTCTTATTTATGTCTGTTCACCGCAGATGAGCTAATGATTATTCTGTGTTGCCCGTTGTATCTCTCTGTGTCGAACTCGGCGGCCGTATCTTAAAGAAGACGATCCTTGGGCAGTTCGACAGCATTGGTTAAAGCGAACCAGGTTCTGCCGGTTCGGCTCAATGGGCTTTACTCGTGAAATCAACTTCTGAACTTCTGATGTCGCAACCAGTCCCGAGATTTCTTGAGTTTTACCAATGCTGTTGGAATTATGCACCCCTCAGAAGGCCGTGGGGCTGATGGGTTGTGTCAAAAATAAATTTGTATTTTTAAACTATTAAGCAATTTTTATTTTACCAGGTAAAGCCCACTGAGCTATGCATATTATTTTTCAGAATCCACTTGGCCACAAATGATAGCTCAACAAAGTGGCTTATGTGGAAATTTAGTGCAGGTAAACTTCTAAATGCGTGTTTCTAAATGTGTAGGGAAAATCCGGAGGTCCCAGAGAGGTGCTTATTTTAGATATGCACACTTAAATCACGTGGCATTCATACACCTTTAAGTTCCATGTCATCGGGTGTATTGTCCCGTTCCAAACGGAGAGTGAGGCGTCATTCCATGATTACGATACATTTTATTTCTGTGTAAACATTTAGTGAACAATTACGCTCCTGCTTCTTTCGCGATTTCCACAGTCATGCCATCCGAATGAGAGAGCCGCACACATTAATCACTAAGATCGTTTTTCAGGAACGGAATCACAAAAAAGTGGAGGCTGGTCAACCACGGAACCCAGCAGAGTTTAGGAAAGGTTTCTCTACCATCGGCCACATGGATGCTGCCGATCAATAATCACCGCTACTCCGCACGGCTTTGGTCTGCCAAGAAAACTACGTAGTTCCGTCAACCGCTTCAGAACAGCAAACTGGTCACTGCTGTGCCCACACCTCCTCCACAAGTGGAGAAATAAAGACAACCCAAAGTGTGACTGCGGCCACCCGAACCAGACAATGGACCACCGTATCGCGAACAACTGCATCCAGACACCCTCTCTCCAGCGGACTGAGCAGCATTAATTAGTAGTTTTAAACAGATTACTCAGGACCCTTTTAAAACGGCTCCCAGACATCCTGCCTTCCGAAGCTGGGAAATCCCCAACAAGCCACGCCCAGCGTGATGCAACGGAAGCCAGTAACATCACCGACCGAGCCCCCTCCTCCCACCCCCATCACCTCCCGTCCAGCGGCACCACGTGGGAACAGAGGTGAACACTTGTTTTGTTTCTCCAAATATGTTCGTGTTCTTTACGATTCGTCATCGAACGGATAATCGCCAGGGTCATCGACAGCTTTGAATAATCGGATTATTGCCCGGATCGGATGGGACCCGTTCCGTGGTGGCATTCATCGCACGTGTGCCGAATGGAACCTTCACTCGGCACTCCGTCGGAAAATCTGCCAAGATTTAGACCGGAATGATGCCGGATGCAGTGGAACAGGTAAACACGGACGCACACACCGGAAATTATGGCAATTAAGATGAAGATTAAAACGGTAATTCTGATCATAATTCTGAGCATCGTGTCACGTGTATTTTTGTCGAGAAAGCTTCAAGGCTCATATATATTAGGCTCAATTTGTGGAAAGTGGGCACCGGGTTCCCTGTTGCTGTTCCTCCACCGCTCGGTTACCCAGGAAAGTCTCGGAGAGTCTCAAGACTCGCTTTTAGGAGGGCGCTGCCAAGTCGGTGCAGGAGGGGACGATGCTGCTGCTGCTGTGTGTAATGCCATCTGAATACATGCATCTTAGATCATTTTGCAGCATTGCGATGTTTGCCCAATCGCAGTGGCATTGAATGTGATTTTTCTCTCTCTCTCTCTCTCTGCTTCTCTTTGGGAAGGAAACCAAAAAATCCGAAGGACACCCTTGCAGAACAGGGGGGGAACATATGCACTCCAAAAAAAGACAAAGACCCCCGTATAGCCTCATCAGACTGCTGGGGAAAGTGCTGTTAGTGAGTAGCACCTATGAAGGCCGACACGGCACAAGGGGGTGGGTGGCCAACACCACGTCCGGCCACCTTTGTCTCCCCAGTGGCGATGTTTACACATCGCAACAGGTACTCATTAGAGGCTGAGTCGACCTAAGGAAGGCCCAGGACCGGTTCAGATAATTGTCATTGGTGTTGGCCGTCGGTGGGAATTCGTAGCGCAGCGTGATGACCGTTGCACTACGTCTCCCCACACACTCCACACAGTGGCACCCAAGTCAGGAGTTGAACCCACGTGATCTCGCCGTGAGGGGACAAATGTTACCACTCTGCCACCTTATGGGAGCAGAGGTTTGGGATGTCTGGGCAAGCGTGGAGAAGGGCGACCTCCCGAGACCGCCATTGCAGTGGTTGGTGTACTGCCCTATGGTGGCGAGATGTTAGCTACCTCGCCTGGTATACAGGAGGTCGTGGGTTTGATCCCGACCCTGACGCCTGCTGCTGTATAGTTTGAGTTTGGATGTTTGTCTCGCCGTGGTCGCGTGGATTTTTCCCTGGATCATCCGGTTTTTCCCCCCACGTATTGAATCAATATACGTTTAGAGTATTTGACTGCAATACATTCCCACATGTCAAGTGGCTTCGTTGAGCTGTCGTTTTTGGACAGGTCGCTTCTGAAAACGAGTTGTATAACTCAGTGCGCATTAGCTGGTAAAATAAAAAAATATATAGTATAGTTGAATTTACCGGAGATCGATGACTGGCCAAGGATATCACCAGTGACGTCTGAACATGTCCTAAGTCTCCGTTTCACCACCCTGCACTGACCAGCACGGTGAAGTGTGGTCAACCAATCCTCACGACCGCATATTCAATTCATCGGAACGCCTTCATCCAGCAGTCGATTGACAAGGGGTCTAGACATTGCAGTTACTGCTTCTGAAAATGCCCAATCCGTTCCACGCGATTTTGTTTTTATGCAATGCCCTGTGGGAGTGTTGACATCAGATAGCCCAACAATATCCCTGCTGCTCAACCTGCAGAGCTCTGCTTAAACATCGCCACGCCAGAGATCATCTCAGAATCAGAACCTCTATTTATACTGCAGGACGAATCCGATGAGCTATAATGCTCTTTTTCACAGATGTCCAGTCGAGGCGGGTCAGAACGTTACAACAACAATCAGTACAAAAACACGATAGGGGTGCAAGTACAAAAAAGTAAACAAATCACCGAAAATCATACGAATAAAACTAAACCATCCCCATCCTACCAGGCAAAGCCCACCGAGCTATGAATTTGTTTTTCAAAAGCGACCTGGCCACAAATGATTGCTCAACAAAGTGGCTCATCATTTGGACATTTATCGCAGCAATATTAATCTAAAGAATCTCAATGCATCTTCTTTGGTTCTTTCGGTAAATTCACGTAGAATGAGAATAACCTGAAGAAGGCCACTTGTGTTGTGGCCGAAACGTCGTGATAATTTTATTGTTTTATTGTATTATTTTATTCTCATTCTACGTGACTTTACCGAAAGAACCAAAGAAGATGAATCCTTGCAGTCATGAAAGCTTTAAATCGAAATGTCAATGCATGTTTATAAATGTGGAGGCAAAACCCGGAAGACCCGGAGAAAAATCCACGTGACCACAGAGCGAACATGCAAACTCCAAATATACAGGCGTCAGGGTCGTGATCGGGGTCGACCCCTCGACCTTCCTGTATCCCAAGAGAGGTAGTTAACATGACACCACCACCAGGCTCAATCACCTCCAAGAGGCACAGCGAGCTGCTCACGAGCAGAAGGATTCAAGTTCAAATCCTGGTAAGAGGGTTGATTCAGCCCATCATCCCTCTGGAGGAGAAGTTAATGGTGGTCATCCTATGGATAGATTCTCCGCTGCTATAGGAATGTGGAATTTCCACTACAGGCTAGGGGCTATAAACGGAAGATGAGCACCGCCTCAATTGTCATTGGAGCAGGAGATCACTCGCTGGCTCGCAGCCTCACTCTCTCGCTCACTCACAGCCTTACTCACAGCCTTACTCACTCACAGCCTCACTCGCTCACTCACAGTCTCACTCGCTCACTCGCAGCCTCACTCGCTGACTCGCAGCCTCACTCGCTCACTCACAGCCTTACTTGCTCACTCACAGCCTCACTCGCTCACTCACAGCCTCACTCACTCACAGCCTCACTCGCTCAATCGCAGCCTCACTCGCTCAATCGCAGCCTCACTCGCTCACTCGCAGCCTCACTCAATCACTCACAGCCTCACTCACAGCCTCACTCACTCACTCACAGCCTCACTCACTCCCTTACAGCCTTGTCGCCGGCAATCCAGCTCGTCGGGCGAGCTGGATTGCCGGTGACTGCGCGCGGAGCGGCGTGCGTTGCGCGATGGGGAGGCGGATTTTACCCGTAGGTGAGCCGAATTAATTGATGCGATCGCACGCGGCTTCCCACGCATTCAATTAGAGGAGGGGGCGGCGGGCGGGAGGGGGGGCGGACACGGAGCAGCGTGTCTCACAATCGAGTTAATAAAGCCAAGAAATCAAATCAGCCGGAGCCCGCCATAGCTAGGGCGCGCCGCTTGCGGGTGCCTGCGAGGGCACGGGAGGGGGGCCGCAACTCGTCCGTGCCAACCCAGAGGTGGCGTCGCTTTGGCGATTCCGAGGAACCAAGACCACGGCGATGGTCCTCGGCACCAACTCGAGTCCCGACTCCCCCTTTCTGGGGATCGAGCTGCTTGCTGCTTCTGCTGTCACCATCCTAGAATCTCAACCGCCCAGATCCGGAATATCGGTGCTGGATACAGCAGCCACATTTGCAACGTGATTTGTTACTTCGATCCTTTCCCTCCCCCGTGTATCGATAGGTCAATTTAAGTGTGCAAATGTATTGAGGGACTGCTGTGTTTTTGTTATCTTGGTGTGGTCTGGGACTGTTGTTGTTTCCCTGCCTTGTCCAAGATTACATGTAGTGGCGAAAACTCGGCAGCAATTAATATTCTTATGCAATTTGTGCGCACATATTTTTTGTGACTTGCTTACCTTTCTTATACGTTGCAATCTTATCGGTTTTTGTAATGTTGTTGTAACTTGCTGAACCGCCCCAACAGGACATCTGTGAAAAAAGTTTAATAGCTCATTGGATTCCTCCTGTAGCCTAAATAAAGACTGATTGTGAACCCTGGCGAACAGAGTGGAGTCACGCGGATGTCCAGAATATACCTCTCATCAGAGACTCGTAAACATCACCCCACACCTCCTTACCCGTACGGCACGGCCGACAACTCCGACGCAGGTGACCAACGCTGCCCACGCCGTCCCAGCTCCGAGATGCGCGACACGGTAGCGACTGTGGCACACGAGGGGGTGGGTGGTAAGCACCGTGCCCGGCCGCCTTTGTCTCCAAAGTGGCGATGTTTTTACACAACGCACCAGGCACTCATTTGAGGCTCAGTGGACCTAGATCGACACACGAGACAAAGGTAAAGATCCCCCATATATCCTTAACAGACGATTGGGGTAAGTTAGCAAGTTGGCAAGCACCTTACAAAGGCTGACACAACACACGGTGGGGGTGCGTGGCCAGTACCACGCCCGTCCGCCTTTGTCTCCCTATTGGTGGTGTTGACACACTGCATCAGGTAGTCATTTGAGGCTGAGTCGACCTCGGAGAGGCCCCCATATCGGTTCAGATAATCGTCACCGGCGTTGGTGGCCGTGAGCGGGAATCGAACTCGGGCCACGGGGGGTTCCGTAGTGCAACGCTGCCGCTACCCCCGTGGTAAAATGCAACGCGCGGCACCGGGAAGATCACGATGAGCTTCGAGTAGCGATTGAAGACAGCTGGCGGGTATGTGTTGGGGAGACTGCCATACACCTTCCCGTTCTCCTGTGACCCCCTGTTCTCCGAGTCTCCCCCCCTCACGGCTGCCCCTCGTGGCATGATTTAAATGTCTATACTAACCACCTTACAAATACACCGCTGTGCCCTTCTCGTACCCGCCAACCACGAGCTGTGCAGTGGCGAGAGTACCCACGCGGGCAGAATACACAGGACACCACAATGCACAGGCTTTGGGCTCAATTTGCTCAATTTGCCTGGTCTCTCCCGACTCACTCCTCCTACGGGATTTTCTCCTCGGACTTACCTCTCCACTCCGTACTTACGCTCCGATCTCGAGGTGTAGGAAGTCGCTGAAAGGCGAGGCTGCACGTGGCTTTTGCGGGGGCTGGACCTGGCTGCTCTGCGACCCATCTCATGGACGTTCGAGTAGCAGGGGACGATCACTCCTCTGTCCCTCACTCCAAAAGACCCCGCGCAAAAGAGAGCTTGCTTCTCATTTTCGTCCCTTTTTATGCCCCTACTTCAAAGCCCACACGCCGCCGATCCGCTGGCCTCTCATCCAATCAGGAGCCTCGGATTTCCCGCTCTCTGCCAATCAGGTCAGCCCCCTCTCCGACACCCGCCCCTCATTGTTTAACCAAGTGCACCACCGACAACTTCTGGGCTACCGCCCCACCCCCCACCTGCCTGCCGATCCGCGTGTGCCTTGGGTGTTTCCTCACTGCAGTTCTCAGTAGTTCACCGTGGCTGTGTAATTTTAAGTTAATCCACGGCGCCGCAGTGTCATTCGGCCTGGGGGGGTGGTCTGCCAATTCCCTGGCCCTGAGAAACCGTGGGGCAGGTGACCCCCCCCCCCCACGAGGCCCTACGTGAGTGCATGTGCGTGTTCATGTGGGGGGTCGTGGGGGAAGCGCTGTGACGGAGGCCGGGTGGCTTCTCTGCTGCAGCACCCCCGCCGCAGGCACGGCACCCACGGAGCGGCTTTGCTGTCTACCACATAGCCCCCTGAGGTGCCAGTCCACGTTCCGGGTTGACTGGAGCACCTCGCCTGGGTTGCCACCACGAGGTAGCGTCGCGGGGTCCGTGGGACTCGCCCAGCCCTCGTGGCCGGCCTGGGGGGTGGTGGCTCCGTCTCCCGGGGTTCCGGCAGCGGTCACCTCCTCCACTCCAATGGTCCTCCTCGGCCCTCGGCACCTGCGGGCTGGGGGACGAACTCAGAGGCAGCAGGGTTTAAGGGTCGTCGTCCCCGTCCCCCCCTGCCCGGGCCGGGACCTGTCGGGGCCCGGGGCCCCGTGGGGCCCATATACCGTGCGAGGCCCCCGAGTATGGGGGGTGTGGGGACCCCTAGATTTCGGGGTACTCGAACGGCTGGGTTCTCTCCCGCTGGAGCTGCTCTCCATGATTTTAGTCGGCGGACGTTGACCACCATCTCCCGGCCCTTTTCTCCTCCCTGAATCAGCACCATCCAGGGGGAGATCTGTCGTCCCACGGTCCAGGGTCCCCACCAGTAAGTGGTCAGTTTCCCTACCTGTCCAGCCCCGACGCGAGGAGTGTGTAGCCACACTTTAGAGCCCGCCGAGTAGAAGGAGGGCTCAATACGGGGTTGGGCGCTCTGCTCTTGCCGCTGGTGCGCGGCCTCTCCTTGCGGGTAGGCCCGGCCCCGGGCCCCTCGCAGAGTCTCCATCAGGTGTTCCACGGGGCGGCTCCCCTTCTCCCATTGCGGCGGGGGGACACCGAACAGCAGATCTGCGGGTAGACGAGACTCACGGCCAAACATCATTAGGAACGGGGTCTGTCCCGTAGACGTGTGTACCCTGGTGGTGTAGGCGAACAGGGCGTAGGGGAGGTGTTCGTCCCAGTCCTGCTGATTTGCGGCCGCCATGCATTTGAGCTTCCCGGCTAGAGTCTGGTTCATCCGCTCCACCATCCCATTTGCCTGGGGTGATACGCCGTGGTTCGGTCCTTCTGGATTCCAAACTCGCGGCACAGCGCCTGGAACAGCTCGGCCTCGAACTCACTACCTTGGTCGGTAATGACCCGTTCGGAGATCCCGTGCTTAAGTACGTAGTGCTCCACGAAGGCTCGGGCTACCACGAGGGCCATCTTATCGGGGATGGCCACCGATACGGGATAGCGTGTGAAGTACTCTACCGCTATGAGAATATATCGGTTGCCCTGGTGGGATCGCGGGAATGGCCCCTGCAGGTCGATCCCAACCAGCTGGTTCGTTCGACTGACGCGGAACGGTCTCAGGGGTACCTGATATTGTGCCGGTTTCGGCCCACATTGCTGACACGCGCGGCAGCCCTGTACCCAGGCGGCCACGTCTTGTGCCAATTTGGGCCAGAGATACTGGCGACGCAGGGTCTCCCGAGTGCGCCGTTCCCCGTCATGGCCCCCGAGCGGGTGGTCGTGCACCAGCCTCAGCAGCTGGGGTCGCACCTGGGCGGGAACACAGATGCACCCTGGCTGGCCGGCTTCGGTTAGCTCTCGTCCCACCCCGTTCTGCACGCACAACCGGGTATACAAACCACTCCAGGGTCCCGGTAGGGCGCTCTTCTTCTCTCTTAGGGCCGCTGCCACCGCCGCCAGGTCTGGGTCCCGCTGCTGGGTCTGTCTCAGCTGCTTGTCGTCCAGGCCTGGGAAGGCACAGCCGACGTCCGCTTGGATCCGCCCGGTCAGGGTGGGGTGGTCCGTCGGGTCCCCTGCTCCTTCCGCAGGGGTCTCTTGGCGCATACCGTACTCTCTCTCGGGGGAGGGGTTTTAGTTTCAGCATGCTTCTGGGGGCCCGCCGCTTGTCGGCAACGTCCCCCCGTGAAGCACGGGCAGGCTTCCTCTGCTCTCGTCTCGGCGCACACCGCGGGCCGCCTCGACAAGGCGTCCGCGTTTGCGTGAGTCCGCCCCGCTCGGTACTCAATCTGCAGGTTGTACTCCTTCAAATGCGCCAACCATCGGGCCATCTGCCCCCGCGGTTACTTGAGGAACTGTAGGACATAATGGTCGGTGCATACCCGACATTTCCTGCGGTACAAATACGGCCGGAACTGTTTACACGCAAAGATCACGGCATACAGTTCTTGACGGGTCATGCAATAGTTCAGCTCAGCCCCGCTCAGGGTCCGACTGGCGTATGCGATGACCCGCTCCATCTCACCCTGCACCTGTGACAGCACCGCACCCAGCCCACTGCTGCAGGCGTTGGTGTCCAAAATAAAATCGGTGGTGAAATCGGGGAAAGCCAGGGTGAGGGTGAGGTGGTCTTTGAGGGTGGTGAAGGCCGTCTGGCAGGTCTCCGTCCACTGATAGGGGTTCTTAGGGGATGTGAGTTGGGTGAGGGGGTGTGCAATCTCGCTGAATCCCTTTACAAATTGACGGTAATAGGTGGCGAGTCCCAAGAATGATCTGATCTCCATCAGGTTCCTTGGCCGTGGCCAATCCATTACGGCGCGTACCTTCTCCGGATCGTCGATGCGTACCGCTGCCTCGCTGACTCGGTGTCCGAGGTACCCCACCTCGCGCTGTGCAATGTAACACTTACGCAGCTTGAGCTTGAGATGGGCTGCTCGCAGTCGCTGGAATGCCTCCCGCAGCCTGGACCAGTGCTCAGACAGAGATCTACTGAACACTATCACGTCGTCCAGGTAAATTAGGCACTGTTACCACTCCAAGCCCCGCATCACCAACTCCATCAACTGTTGGAACGTCGCGGGCCCGTTAGTGAGTCCGAACGGAAGCACCCGAAACTCAAACAATCCCATCAGGGTGGTAAATGCGTTTTTTGGCCGATCCTCCACCGCCATCTCCATCTGCCAGTACCCGGACGCCAGATCGAGGGTGGAAAAATACCGCACTCCTGCGAGGCTGTCAAAGGTGTCATCGATGCTTGGGATGGGGAAGGCGTCGCCGAGTGTGACTGCGTTCAACTTTCGGTAATCAACACAGAATCGGGTCGACCCATCCTTTTTCGTCACTAGTACCACCGGGGCAGACCAGGGGCTTGCTGAGGGCTGGATTATGTTATCGCGGAGCATATCCACGACTGCCTCTTTAATCTGGCCCCGTTCAGGTGCACCCACTCGGTATGTGGGGATTTTAATGGGTTGGGCGGCACCGGTGTCAATTTGGTGCTTCACAAGGTCTGTCCAACCCAGGTCCGAGTTGTGTTCACTGAACACGTCGGCGTACTCCCGCAGTAACCCGCGCAGCTGATCGGCCTCCCTCTTAGGTAACTCCGCCCAGAGTACGTGTAACGCGTCAAGCAGGGGGACCACCTCGGCTCGGGGAGTCGGGCCGACTCGCCAGGCTAGGTCCTGGTTGTCCTCGGGGCGACCGGGGTTCTCAGCCCAGAGTGCAAACACCGAGTCGTCAGAGTGGCGCGCATGCAGGGGGTGTATGGTGGCTACCGGAGTGCATCGTCGTAGCATTGCCGGGGTACTGTGTGGGTTAAACACCCGCATAAACAGTCGGCTCCCATCTGCGTTAACCAGCGTGGCTGATCCCACAACCCCATATCATGCCGCCAACTCCGGTGGTCGGTGTGTGGGATTGGTGGAGGTTGTTGCCACTGGCACCAGCATCTCGGCGAGCGGTCCGATGGTGACGGCCGACACCAGGGTAGCGGCCACGGGTGTGAAGCGAGGGCGATTCGGCTCTTGTCCCAGGAACGGAATCCGCTCCCCGCTGCCTTGCACCATGGTGCATCGCTGGTGGGGCTGCACGTTGAGCCCCAGTTTCTCCAGGAGGTCTGTACCTGCGATACACTCATGGCACAACACACTCGAGACATAGAATTCCTGGGTGCACACCTGGTGTCCGAGACGGACCTCGAGGGAGACTCTTCCCAGTAACCCCATCTCGGCTCCACTCGCCGTGTGCAGCGCGCGATCCGGGGCCTGCAGGCGGCTCACATCAACCCCGAGCACGCTGCAGTGTGTGGCGCTCACGAGTGAGGCCACTGCCCCCGTGTCCAGCAAAATTCGGGTGTGCTGCCCGTTCACCTGCCCTTCTACCAGTTACGTGGCCCCCGTGATTCCCACCACCAGCTCCTGCAGCCAGTCGCTCGTCCTCACCGCGTCCTTGGGTGTTGTGGTCGGAACCTGTGTGGAGGTCACTCGCTCACCATTATTATTATCGTCATTGTGTGTTGGAACCACGTCGATTGCACCCCTAGATGGTCCACTCTCTAGGGGGCGTTGGCATTTAATCCTGGTGCGTTTCTATTGCGGGCGATCTGAGGGCAGTCTCTCATGAGATTCCCTCGACGGTCGCACAGGTAGCATGCCCGGGGGGCGGTCCCATAGGAGGTCCCCTGCCCATCCCTTCTCCCCCTTCCAGTACGCAGCTGTCCAAGGTCGGACTCTAACTGGGACACCCGCCCGGCTAGCCCCCCTACTGTGGAACGTAGCTTACCCATCTCGAACTGGATGGTCTTCATATTTCTATTCACGTCCTCACGTACGTGGGTCACCCTGTCACCTACTTGGGTCACCCGGCCGGCTATACCCCTTATGCCCGTCTGTATCCCCGCTACCCAGCTCGGGGCTGTCTCGCGGGGTCCTGAGGGCTCTCTTGCCCGACCCCTTACCATATTGGCGAGCCCCTCCTCCTCCTCTGGGAGCAGGCTCGCGATGGCACGCTCCCGTCCCAGCCCCCGAAGCTGCGCGCGCTCACTGGCAAGCTCCTCGCACTCAAGCGCACGCTCAATGAGGGTATTAAAGGGGAGGCTTGCGCTACCCACTTTGGGCTGCCACTACGCGGTGCGGGCTAAATACCGGAGGATTTTGTTGGCGGCCAGCTCGTCAATCACCTCTG